TTTTGAAAAAAAAGTGCTTCTCAACTTGGAGAAGCTTGGCCAAACAGGCTATAAGTCGCTCTATTCTAAAGATAATGCTCGGGATTATCCAAACAGTAGTCTGCTGATTAAACAATCATTTATGAATACAGTGTAAATGAAGTGTGGGAGCCATTCCAGGCAAGGTATCTTAGACCATGTTGGAGGCAAGTCCTAGACCTTTGGTTTCAATGTGCTGAGTCATTATGATTGTAAAATATAATATTGGTTGATTAAAAGAAATTTAGCAGGACACTGGATGATAACAAGTGACATAATGAACTTGCACTGGTTTAATCATTCTTTAGAACTAGTCCAAGTTGTACTTCTTTGTTTTGGTCCTAATAAGCACAAGGCACGTCATGCAAACTTGGAAAAGCAAGATCCTTCCGCAACTCAATGTCATATGTTTCAACAATAGCAAGACTATATGTTCAGAAATCTGGACAAAAGTATGAAAAATACCTGATCTGGGCTAATATAGAGCTTAGGACCCATCAAACTGAATTGTAGGGATGCACATACAGGCTCCTTTCTTTGAAGGTTATTTTGCTCTGGAGCCCACACACGAGCTATTTGGAAATCTAGGAAATACTGTAAATCCTCTATTGGTGGCTTGTCTGGAAAAATTACAATGAAATACATCAGACAATGGAAAACACGTTTGGAGAAGTATGACGCATACTTAGAACACAAACAGGGGATTGCCTAAGCGCGCGCAGGCATGGAAATAATTCACATATCAGTTTTCAATGCCCATCCTCCACCCCCTAGACACAGGTTTACCGCCAAGGATGAGCCCCAAGTTCCATCAACTCAGATAGCTGTGTAAACTTTTGCTCTAAAGAACATAACAAATTCGGTATATGGCTTTTCTGATACTCCCCCTCTCCATTTTATAGAACGCCATCACTGTTTGTGATTCAAATATTTCTTTGTGAGAGCACCTACTTTTCAAACGTTTTCAACTACTTTTATAACAATTGCGAGGACTTTGGGTAGCTTCTAAATATGTTGTATTATTTATAGAAAATAAGGTCAGAAATAGATATATTGACCCTTGTATTTCAGACCCCTATCATGCTCTTTGGGTCAGCAGCACTTCTATTTGAGATGCAACTGAATACGAAAGAGTAACCGACAAGAACAGTATAATCATCTGGGACTACCACTATTAACTATTTTCCTGGACTTCTGGCTCATTTAATTTAGAAAACCAATAGAGAATAAATCACAATCTGCAATTGCAAACGAAGAGGCACGAATAGTGATCGGATACAACACTCACATTCCAAGTATAGCTCAATTGCACGACTCAGGTACTTTATACCAGGCACCTCTTCAAGCAATGACACAATAGGTGTAAATGTCATGTTGATCACATCTGGTGATGTTTCTACAGTCCTTGCCCACTTTTCATGACTCTGCTCCAGATCATCACCTCCTCTTCTGCGGAAAATAACTGTAACGTCCTGCAGTAGGGCAATTCCAATAATTGTACATGTTCAATTTACAGATTAAGGGTGCATGTTGAAGAAACAGAATTTTAAAAAATCAGCTAAGTACTACTGTGTCAAAAAGCCTATCATTTGAAACGTAAGTTGTCTAACCTTGTCCTTGTATCTTAAAGGTCCAGCA